CTGTTACTACTAGCTTCTTGTTACTACTAGTAAGGCACTTGTTACTACTAGCGTGGCACTTGTTCCTACTAGCGTCCTTGCTCTCCTTCTGGCTGTAGATGTCAAGCTTGAAAGATGCGACAGGGAGCTCCGCCTTCTTTTTGATTGCCTGAAGCGCAGTCAGGTCTGAACAAACTCGTAACAGGTCTCTGGGCTGTGGGCTTCCTTCAGATCATCGACCTGAAAACAAAGCAAATTGAGCTGCGCGCTTCGCATAGCAACGTGATGAGGAGTTTGAATGAAGCACGCGAAGAAAGCAGCGTCTTGCAAACATTGTTGCATTCCATGAAATCATGACAAGCCAGCAAGAAGGGCACAGCAAAACTAAGGTCACTGCGTTCGCCAACTCTCCCTTGACTTGGAAAGCGTTGCCAATCTGCTCGAACTTCTCATCATCCTGCAGTCTCAAGAGGCACTGAACAACTCACTCATGCCAGCGCCACCCTTTCAACCAATGTCCGACCGTGCTCAAAGAAAAACACATAGCAAACACTTAAACCGCATGACAAGCAATGCAACGCACCATGCAAAACATGTGGAGACATGGCAACGTGGCAGTGGGAAATCTCTTGATGAAGTCTCGGCTGAACAAACCACTTGTATTTTAACCTAACACTAGTCAGAGGAACTTCCTAAAGGAACAATGGCATCAACCGTTGCAGTGGCTCTTGCAAATAACAATGCTTTTGACGCAAACCATGCAAAGCAAAACATGAAAGAAACATATAGGGATGACAAAGCTGCTTGTTCAACACTTGCTGCATCGCTCAAAAGGTGAGATGTCGAGGTGGGAACAGACAAAAAAAAGGGCACAGCAAAGGAACAAGGGCATGGCAGAAAATCATACAAAGTCTTTAGTCTAGAGTCAAAATCCTCTCTATCAAATTGAGGAAGATGTTGGGAAGATATCATTCAACAAATCCTGAGGAATAAATACACTACTGCTAGTCCTTTGTGCATAAAACATTTACTTCCCTCAAAAGAACATGGCAAAGGAACAAACAAAAGGCAGAGAAACAACATGTTGCGTCTAAGTCCTTTCGAAGTTGAATATGAAGACATCCAAATAAAGAACCATGCGATCGCCCCAACCGTGCTGAAACAAAACATGACAAGGCAAAGGATGCCAGAAAGAAATCTCTTGATGAAGTTTCGGCTGAACAAACCACTTGTATTTTAGCCTAACACTAGTCAACGGAACCTCCTAAAGGAACAAAGGCACAAACTGTGGCAGTGGCTCTTGCAAATAACAATGCCTTTGACGCTTGAGTGGGAGAATGATGGAAAACAACCCTACCTTATCAACATGACCAATCCACACCGGTTTTAGCACACGAACCGTGCAAAGCAACACATGAAAGGAAGATATAAAAATGACAAGGCTGCTTGTTCAACGCTTGCTGTACCACTCA